TTTATTACAAATAAAAAACTGAAATATTACATTTACATACACCACTGTTCAAAAGTTCGGGGTCACTTAGAAATGTCCTTGTTTTCCATGAAAACATACATGAAATGAGTTTGAATAGGAAATATAGCAAAATGCATAGGAAATGTTGTCATTGACAAAATCAAATCAAATGTTATTGGCCACATGCGCCGAATACAACAGGTGCAGACATTACAGTGAAATGCTTACTTACAGCCCTTAACCAACAGTGCATTTATTTTTAACAAAAAAAGTATGTGTTGAGAAAAAAAGAGCAGAAGTTAAATAAAATGACAGTAGGGAGGGTATATATACAGGGGGGTACTGGTGCAGAGTCAATGTGCGGGGGCACCGGCTAGTTGAGGTAGTTGAAGTAATATGGTAATATGGACAAGGTTAGAAAGAATGATTTTTAATTGAAATAATAATTGTGTCCTTCAAACTTTGCTTTCGTCAAAGAATCCTCAATTTGCAGCAATTACAGCCTTGCAGACCTTTGGCATTCTAGTTGTCAATTTGTTGAGGTAATCTGAAGAGATTTCACCCCAAGCTTCCTGAAGCACCTCCCACAAGTTGGATCGGCTTGATGGGCACTTCTTACATACCATACGGTCAAGCTGCTCCCACAACAGCTCAATAGGGTTGAGATCCGGTGACTGTGCTGGCCACCATTTTAGACAGAATACCAGCTGACTGCTTCTTCCCTAAATAGTTATTGCATAGTTTGGAGCTGTGCTTTGGGTCATTGTCCTGTTGTAAGAGGAAATTGGCTCCAATCAAGCGCCGTCCACAGGGTATGGCATGGCGTTGCAAAATGGAGTGATAGCCTTCCTTCTTCAAGATCCCTTTAGCCCTGTACAAATATCCCACTTTACCACCACCAAAGCACCCCCAGACCATCATATTGCCTCCACCATGCTTGACAGGTGGCATCAAGCACTCCTCCAGCATATTTTCATTTGGTCTGCGTCTCACAAAATGTTCTTCTTTGTGATCCGAACACCTCAAACTTCGATTAATGTGTCCATAACACTTTTTCCTAATCTTCCTCTGTCCAGTGTCTGTGTTCTTTTGCCCATCTTAATATTTTCTTTTTATTGGCCAGTCTGAGATATCGCTTTTTCTTTGCAACTCTGCCTAGAAGGTCAGCATCCCGGAGTCGCCTCTTCACTGTTGACATTGAGACTGGTGTTTTGCGGGTACTATTTCATGAAGTTGCCAGTTGAGGACCTGTGAGGCATCTGTTTCTCATACTAGACACTCTAATGTATTTGTCTTCTTGCTCAGTTGTGCACCGGGGCCTCCCACTCCTCTTTCTATTCTGGTTAGAGCCAGTTTGCGCTGTTCTGTGAAGGGAGTAGTACACAGCGTTGTATGAGATCTTCAGTTTTTTGGCATGGAATAGCCTTCATTTCTCAGAACAAGAATAGACTGATGAGTTTCAGAAGAAAGTTATTTGTTTCCAGATACTCAACTAGTCTCAAGAAGGCCAGTTTTATTGCTTCTTTAATCAGCACAACAGTTTTCAGCTGTGCTAACATAATTGCAAAATGGTTTTCTAATGATCAATTAGCCTTTTAAAATGATAAACTTGGATTAGCAAACACAACGTGCCATTGGAACACAGGACTGATGGTTGCTGATAATGGGCCTCTGTACGCCGATGTAGATATTCCATTAAAAATCAGCCGTTTCCAGCTACAATAGCCATTTACAACATTAACAATGTCTACACTGTATTTCTGATCAATTTGATGTTATTTTAATGGACAAGAAAATTGCTTTTCTTTCGAAAACAAGGACATTTCTAAGTGACCCCAAACTTTTGAACGGTAGTGTACGTATTCAGACTCTTTACTTTGTTGAAGCACGTTTGGCAGTGATTACAGCAGAGTCTTCTTGGGTATGACGCTACAAGCTTGGCACACCTGTATTTGGGGAGTTTCTCCCATTCTTCTATGCAGATCCTCTCAAGCTCTGTCAGGTCGGATGGGGAGCGTCACTGCACAGCTATTTTCAGGTCTCTCCAGAGATGTTAGATCGGGTTCAAGTCCTGGCTTTGGCTGGGCCACTCAGAGACTTGTCCCGAAGCCACTCCTGCGTTGTCTTGGCTGTGTGCTTAGGGTCATTTTCCTGTTGGAAGGTGAACATTCGCCCCAGTCTGTGGTCCTGAGTGCTCTGGAGCAGGTTTTCATCAAGGATCTCTCTGTACTTTGCTCCGTTCATCATTGCCTCGATCCTGACTAGTCTCCCAGTCCCTGCCGCTGAAAGACATACCCACAGTATGATGCTGCCACCACCATGCTTCACCGTAGGGATGGTGCCAGGTTTCCTCCAGACGTGACACTTGACATTCAGGCGAAAGAGTTCAATCTTGGTTTCATCATATGAGAGAATCTTGTTTCTCATGGTCTGAGAGTCTTTAGGTGCCTTTTGGCAAACTCCAAGTGGGCTGTCATGTACCTTTTACTGAGGAGTGGCTTCCGTCTGGTCACTCTACCATAAAGGCCTGATTGGTGGAGTGCTGCAGAGATGGTTGTCCTTCTGGAAGGTTCTCCTATCTCCACAGAGGAACTCTAGAGCTTTGTCAGAGTGACCATCGGGTTCTTGGTCACCTCACTAACCAAGACCCTTCTCCCCCGATTACTCAGTTTAGCCGGGCGGCCAGCTCTAGGAAGAGTCTTGGTGGTTCCAAACTTCTTCCATTTAAGAATGAAGGAGGCCACTGTGTTCTTGGGGACCTTCAATTAAATGTTTTGGTAACCTTCCCCATAGCTGTGCCTCGACACAATCCTGTCTCGGAGCTCTACGGACAATTCCTTCGACCTCATGGCTTGGTTTTTGCTCTGACATGCACTGTCAACTGTGGGACCTTATATAGACAGTTGTGTGCCTTTCCAAATCAAGTCCAATCAATTGAATTTACCACAGGTGGACTACAATCAAGTTGTAGAAACATCTCAAGGATGATCAATGGAAACAGGATGCACCTGAGCTCAATTTCGAGTCTCATAGCAAAGTGACTGAATACTTATGTAAATAAGGTATTTCTGTTTTTTATTTTTAATACATTTGCAAACATTTCTAAAAACCTGTTTTCAGTTTTTCATTATGGGGTATTATGTGTAGAATGATGAGGGAAAAAAACTATTTTATCAATTTTAGAATAAGGCTGTAACGTAACAAAATATGGAAAAAGTCAAGGGGTCTGAATACTTTCCGAATGCACTGTATATATATTTTTGTATTTTGTTCAATTTTGGGGAATCCTGTTACCATCCTGCACATTAGGTGGCGGGATGCACCTTAAATTGTGCGATCGCCAATATACCATAGAAGAAGAAGGTTGGATGTGACAGCACAGATGAGGTGCGCTCTCTCGACCACGCCCCCTGACTTTGAGAATCTCCGAGGCCATATGCATCAAGTACACCCATCTCATTAGTGGTAGTAACATATGATACGTTATGTCAGACACAGGAGGTTGGTAGCACCTTAATTGGGGAGGACAGGCTCGTGGTAATGGCTGGATCTTAATAGGTGGAATGGTATCAAATAGATCAAACACATGGTTCCCAGGTGTTTGATGCCATTCCATTTGCGCTGTTCCAGCCATTATTATGAGCCGTCCTCCCCTCAGCACCCTCCACTGATGTCAGAGTAATTTGCAATTGACTGTCATAGACCCACATTAAAAGTATGTGATGGTGAGTTGAGAAGACAATCAGAAATAATGTTAGAATGTTTTTCAATTGACTGCCATAGCCCCCCCCCCAAAAAAGTAAACATTGGCTGTTAATTACTTTTTTTTTCTCACAAAATGGAGTCGTGGGCCAAAAAAGTTTGGGAACCCTCGCTGTAATGTAATGGAATTGAGAGTGATGATCAAGGGCTAGGTCCACTCACTACTAGTTGGACAAGTCAGATTAGATGATCTTGGTAGGAACTGAGAAAATAATTAATGAATGGATTAATTCATACGAGAAACTTCGTTTGAAATAGTTAACGTTAGATAGCTACTGTTAGCTAGCTAAACAACACCAACGTTATTTCACAAATTTGACTTTGTTATTATTAGCTAACTAGCTAACGTTACATAAACCACTCACTGAAAGGCTACCTCTCCTTCTAGCTAGCTAATCTAGTACGGTTACCTAGCTGTTGATGTTGTGAAGCTGACAAACTCCTGACAACTGAAACATACAACCTGTTTACTATACCGTAAACACAAACATACCGTCATTCACCGAATCTTGGCACCCACAATTTTCAAAACCAAGACAGTCCCGGCAACGAAACCGGTCACACGATCTGCTCGCTCAGGCTCGCGTTGCCGTGAGGGACAAGTTCCCGCCTCCAAGCATCTTTCTCCTCTCTGATTGGCCAACACTTCATCCAGTCAGCGGTTTCCTCGCTAGTGTCTCTATGGTGACGGCGAACAGGAAGTTCCACCGAAAGTCACGTGCATGATCCACATGGAAAGGATTTCGCTGCTACAGACAATTTACAAACATGTTTGTACTATTTTATCAACAAATCTATTAAGAGGTATTTACAATTACTCGTATGTCAGTTAAACTTGTGTATATTCTTTATTTGCATGCCGTACTAAGTAAAGGTAGAAATTGCTTGTTGCGTTATTGTTATGCATCGCTAACGTTAGCTAACCAGATAAGTATCCGAACTTTTTCATTGTGATGATTAGTGTAAACATGCAACACACAATCTCTGATATGTAGCCTTGAGAAGATACTCAGCCATTGTTTTGATACTTGAGTGTGCTGTTGCCAAGTAATAGCATGGTAATTGTCACCGTTTTGGTTATGTTTCACCCACCCCACCCACCAGTCTAGTGTTCAAGTGCCTTCTATCCCGCTGATGGCAGTTGACACACAGTCCACCTCACCCCCCTCCATTTTGTTATTCATCTCTCCCTCTCTCTCTTCTTTTCCTCAGTGTTCAAGTACCTTCAAGACCCCTAGATGTCTGAGTCTGATCCTCAGCCCTCCCCCCTCACCCTCTCCATTCCTCCCATCCTCTCCTCCACCCCCACCCTCTCCATTCCTCCCATCCTCTCATCCTCCCCCACCCCATCTGTTCTGCTCAACACCGGGGCCAGGATGCCTCTCCTGGGTCTGGGTACCTACCGGCTCCGCGACCTTGATGATACCCTCCAGGCCGTCAACGCCGCGCTCTCCACCGGCTACCGCTCATTTGACACGGCCTCAGTCTACCGGAACGAGGCTGACCTGGGTCGAGCACTGCGACACCTCCTGCCCAAACACGGCCTCTCCCGAGCGGACGTCTTCATCACCAGCAAGCTGGGCCCAAAGGACCAGGGAGCCAGAGCCAGGTACAGGGATGGAAATTAAAGCTAGTAGGAAATGTGCCAAATTAGCCCGAAATGTTGTCTTCTCAAATGTTGCATGGTATAGCATAGGGCTGCGCGATATGGCCCAAATATCATATCACTGTATTTTTCTACGTTTTTACGGTATTTTATGTTTTTGAATAATAAAAGTTCAATATTTGCTTCATGAGTAGTGCGTGACCCTACGGTGGCAACACATACATTCTAAGTGATTTCAATGTCTCTCTCCATTCTGATTGTTTTATACTGTTCAATTCAACCTAAAATAATTTCCTGCGTTTCCATTAATTTCAGTATGTCCTCATTTGAGATCATTTCCACACTGCTACGTAGGGCTGGACAATATGGGCAAAAAAACTAGGCCTTATTTTTAACCAAATGTTGCGACTTGATTTGACTTGCGATTTTAGATCAAAACACTTGGGTGAACTGTTGGAATCATGGAAATAGAATGTTTATCATAATTCTATAGTTAGAATATAAATAACAGTGGGGACTTTGAATACAGTGTTGTTTGACATGACAACAAATTAACATGCCAGGGAGGGGGTTATTGTGACAGGGTAGGAACCAAAGTGATGGTCAGTGTTTCCTAGGGGACCCTATAATCTTTGGCTACATTAAATGTTTCTTCATGTAGCCAAGATATTCATGCTTCGCGTATTGCTCTTTAGTGTAGCTATAGAACGCTAGTGGATTTAAATTAAGAATGAAAGTTAAAACAGCATCGTTGTCATCGACATTGTTGCATGTGCTGCATTGACCATGCAGACTGAACGCAAGTGTCTCGTGGTCAAGCAACAACAAATGCCCTCCTCGCGTGACGAGGGCCGGGGGCTAGGTTGAAAGTGTGTGGAAAGTGGCATGGAGAGAGAGAGAGCAGAGAGGGATGACTGAAGTAGCGTGTAAACTAGAGAAATTGACGTTACACACTGCATATCACATTTAATAAACCAAGCATTCAAATAACGTTCTAGAAGGTAAAGTAAAAACCCAAACTGGTCCGTGCATCAATAGTGGTATATAGTAAAATACAGTATACCGCCCGGCCCTAGTATAGCCTTGGCCCTTTGGCTAGTAGAATGTCATCTGGGCCTGTAGAAGTTGTGGTATACTAGCCCGGCTGGCCAGTGCCCAAAATGCTGACCACTCTGACCAGTCATATTGTTTGCATTTTCAAACTCTGTTCCACAGGGAAGGAGCTTTGAGGAGTCTAGAACTGCTGGATCTAGACTATATAGATCTATACTTGATCCACTGGCCAGGGACCCAGGGGCTGGGGGTGGGAGACAAGAGGAACCCAGAGAATAGAGCTCAGAGCTGGGCAGAGTTAGAGGAGCTCCACGCCCAGGGCCAGGGGAAGCTGAAGGCCATAGGGGTGTCCAACTACACCCCAGGACATATGAAGGAGCTACTGGAGGGGTGTTGTGTCACCCCCGCCGTATTACAGGTAAACAAAAACAAACTAACTCCCGCTGTATTACAGGTAAACAAAAACAAACACCCTGCCGTACTACAGGTAAACAAAAACAAACTAACTCCCGCTGTATTACAGGTAAACAAAAACAAACTAACTCCCGCTGTATTACAGGTAAACAAAAACACACCCTGCATTACTACAGGTAAACAAAAACACACACGGCCTTACTACAGGTAAACAAAAACACACCCTGCATTACTACAGGTAAACAAAAACAAACACCCCTGCCGTACTACAGGTAAACAAAAACAAACTAACACCCTGCCTTACTACAGGTAAACAAAAACAAACTAACACCCTGCCTTACTACAGGTAAACAAAAACAAACTAACACCCTGCCTTACTACAGGTAAACAAAAACACACCCTGCCTTACTACAGGTAAACAAAAACACACCCTGCCTTACTACAGGTAAACAAAAACAAACTAACACCCTGCCTTACTACAGGTAAACAAAAACAAACTAACACCCTGCCTTACTACAGGTAAACAAAAACACACCCTGCCTTACTACAGGTAAACAAAAACAAACTAACACCCTGCTGTACTACAGGTAAACAAAAACACACCCTGCCGTACTACAGGTAAACAAAAACAAACTAACACCCTGCCTTACTACAGGTAAACAAAAACACACCCTGCCTTACTACAGGTAAACAAAAACACACCCTGCCTTACTACAGGTAAACAAAAACAAACGAACACCCTGCCTTACTACAGGTAAACAAAAACACACCCTGCCTTACTACAGGTAAACAAAAACAAACTAACACCCTGCCTTACTACAGGTAAACAAAAACAAACTAACACCCTGCCTTACTTCAGGTAAACAAAAACACACCCTGCCTTACTACAGGTAAACAAAAACAAACTAACACCCTGCTGTACTACAGGTAAACAAAAACACACTAACACCCTGCCGTACTACAGGTAAACAAAAACAAACTAACACCCTGCCTTACTACAGGTAAACAAAAACAAACTAACACCCTGCTGTACTACAGGTAAACAAAAACACACCCTGCCGTACTACAGGTAAACAAAAACAAACTAACACCCTGCCTTACTACAGGTAAACAAAAACACACCCTGCCTTACTACAGGTAAACAACAACAAACTAACACCCTGCCGTACTACAGGTAAACAAAAACAAACTAACACCCTGCCGTACTACAGGTAAACAAAAACAAACTAACACCCTGCCGTACTACAGGTAAACAAAAACAAACTAACACCCTGCCTTACTACAGGTAAACACCCTGCTGTACTACAGGTAAACAAAAACAAACTAACACCCTGCCTTACTACAGGTAAACAAAAACACACCAACACCCTGCCTTACTACAGGTAGCCAAAAACAAACAACACCCTGCCTTACTACAGGTAAACAAAAACACACCAACACCCTGCCTTACTACAGGTAAACAAAAACACACCAACACTCTGCCTTACTACAGGTAAACAAAAACACACTCTGCCTTACTACAGGTAAACAAAAACAAACTAACACCCTGCCTTACTACAGGTAAACAAAACAAACTAACACCCTGCCTTACTACAGGTAAACAACAACACACCCTGCCTTACTACAGGTAAACAAAAACAAACTAACACCCTGCCGTACTACAGGTAAACAAAAACAAACTAACACCCTGGCCGTACTAACAGTTAAACAAAAACAAACCACACCCCTGCCGTACTACAGGTAAACAAAAACAAACTACACCCTGCCTTACTACAGGTAAACAAAAACAAACTAACCACCTGCCGTACTACAGGTAAACAAAAACAACTAACACCCTGCCTTACTACAGTAAAACAAAAACAAACTACAACCCTTGCCTTACTAACAGGTAAACAAAAACACACTAACCACCCTGCCTTACTACAAGTAAACAAAAACAAACTAACACCCTGCCTTACTACAGGTAAACAAAAACACACCCTGCCTTACTACAGGTAAACAAAAACAAACTAACACCCTGCCTTACTACAGGTAAACAAAACAAACTACACCCTGCCGTACTACAGGTAAACAAAAACAAACACCCTGCCGTACTACAGGTAACAAAAACAAACTAACACCCCTGCCTTACTACAGGTAAACACAAAAACTAAACACCCTGCCTTACTACAGGTAAACAAAAACAAACAACCCTGCCTTACTACAGGTAACAAAAAACAACTAACACCCTGCCTTACTACAGGTAAACAAAAACAACTAACACCCTGCCGTTACTACAGGTAAACAAAACAAACACCCCGCCGTACTACAGGTAAACAAAACACTAACACCCTGCCGTACTACAGGTAACAAAAACAAACTAACACCCTGCCTTACTACAGGTAAACAAAAACAACTAACACCCTGCCTTACTACAGGTAAACAAAAACAAACTAACACACCCTGCCTTACTACAGGTAAACAAAAACACCACCCTGCCTTACTACAGGTAAACAAAAACAACATAACACCCTGCCGTACTACAGGTAAACAAAAAACAAACTAACAACCCTGCCTTACTACAGTAAACAAAACACACCCTGCCTTACTACAGGTAAACAAAACACACCCTGCCTTACTACAGGTAAACAAAAAACAAACTAACACCCTGCCTTACTACAGGTAAACAAAAACAAACTAACACCCTGCCTTACTACAGGTAAACAACAACACACCAACACCCTGCCTTACTACAGGTAAACAACAACACACTAACACCCTGCCTTACTACAGGTAAACAAAAACAAACTAACACCCTGCCTTACTACAGGTAAACAAAAACAAACTAACACCCTGCCTTACTACAGGTAAACAAAACACACCAACACCCTGCCTTACTACAGGTAAACAAAACAAACCAACACCCTGCCTTACTACAGGTAAACAAAAACAACTAACACCCTGCCTTACTACAGTAAACCAAAACAACACCCTGCCTTACTACAGGTAAACAAAAACAACACCCTGCCTTACTACAGGTAAACAAAAACAAACTAACACCCTGCCTTACTACAGTAACAAAAACAAACTAACACCTGCCTTACTACAGTAAACAAAACACATCCAACACCCTGCCTTACGACAGGTAAACAAACACAACTAACCCCTGCCTTACTACAGTAAACAAAAACAAACTAACACCCTGCCTTTACTACAGGTAAACAAAAACACACCAAACACCCTGCCTTACTACAGGTAAACAAAAACACACCAACACCCTGCCGTACATGAGACTCAGCTTACTGTTGTGCTTGTTCTTCTGGCTCTAGCACTATATTTTCTTACTGGCACTTGTTTCTCTGATCGCTGCTTTCTTGAGGAAAGTTTTACTTGATATGACTGTGATTTGTGGTTGTCTTACCCACCTTAGTTGAATGCACAGACTGACCGTAAGTCACTCTGGATGAGAGTGTCTGCTAAACGACTTTGGATAAATGACCGTTCTTATTATAAATCTGAAATCTTATTGAATAATCTTACGTCATCTCTCCGTCCAGGTAGAGTTCCACCCCCGTCTGTCCCAGGGGGAGATGAGGCGTCTGTGTGGGGAGAAGGGTGTCTGTTTCCAGGCTTACTCCTCCCTGGGGACTGGCTCTCTCCTCCAGGACCCTTTAGTGGTCCAGGTTGCACTGGGATATGGCCGGACCCCTGCACAGGTACTGTGTCTGTGAGAGTTGGGGTGGAGTGTTCTGGAAATGACAGTACACTCTTAAGTACACACTGATTTAAGTAATTTAATGGCTTTCCTTCTCTCCTCTTCCTCCCTGTTTTATCCCACATCTTCCCCTGGCTTCGTCTTTCATCCTGTGTTTGTGGCAGGTCCTGCTCAGGTGGGCGGTGCAGCAGGGAGTCCCCGTCCTACCCAAGTCATCTCACCCCACCAGGGTAGCAGAGAACGGGCGTGTGTTTGACTTTGAGCTGACCGCTGAAGACATGGAGAGGCTGGGGGGGATGGACTGTGGACAGAAATACTGTTGGGACCCTTCACAGGTGGCCTGAGGTAGGAGGGGAAACCCAGCAGAGAAGGAGGAGATGGGTCTGTAGCCCAAAGATAGCTGGGGTTTGAATTCCTTGAAGTTAGCCTGAAGGTACATACTTACTGACTGGATTCTGTTATGAAGCAAACCTTGATAAGAAATCACGTGTCAACAGAACTTTGGAGAGTCTCCCAATAAGATTCTTGAACTAAGTGTTGATTTATGATGCGACAGAGACCTCTGATGAAGATTACGATCATGATGCCAAGAGCAACGCTGTTGTTGTGTTCATGTGATATTTATGTTACAAATGATTTTCTTACTAACTTAAAATCGGAATTAATTTGATATTTTCACTGTAAAAATTGACCTCATATCAAGTGGCAATTTTTTTTTTTAATAAGTCAGTGTGTATATACATTTTTTTTTATAAAAATGCACAATACAAATAAAAAAAACACCTAGCACTAAGTAAATGATGGTTAATAAAAGTATTTTGTTTTATTTGTTTACGTATGCCCATAGTACACCAAGTGGTCACAAAAAGAAAATTACATTTACAAAAGTCATTTTGTATAAAAAAAAAAAAAAAAAAGAGAGCGAAGTAAAAGTGTTCAAGATTCCCTCATTCCACACATCAAGTTTCAAGTAATACCAGAGGTTGAGTCCCAAACGGCATCCTATTCCCTAGCGTCCCAAACGGCACACTATTCCCTATATAGTGCAGGAATAGGGTGCTGTTTGGGACCAAGGGCCAGAGATGACTGCAAGGCAAGCTTCCAGTTGCACAGATGCGATCTAAACTAGAGCCCTGTCTGGTTTCAACAGGGTACGTTCAACACCACAACATCACAAAACCCTGCGCAAACAGTTGCAAACCAGGTTTAAAAAAAGGGTCAAAACAAAATACAGGTTTAAAAGGCAGAATGAAAAAAGCCTTGTAAGGAAACGTCTGTGAAATGGCGAAAGAACACAGATGTTGCACAGTTACTTACCAACGTTTTATTTATTTATAAGCATTCTTATCTACAGTACTAGAGATTAGTTTAGCAACGTTGTGATCTAGAATGCAGCCCGTGCGCCTCAGGCGCTAGTGGTGTGTGACAAGCCGTCTGCTGATAAGCATTCCTCTACATACCGTTCTAGAGAGTCTATTGTTTTGCAACGTTGTGATGCAGAACATACCCGGCGTGTTTGTGCTTCTCTACCGTGTGACTGAGCCCAGTGCCTAAGGCAGTAGGTAGGCAGTAGTGCTGGCAGCCGTGGCCCAGTCACAGAAAGACTCGGAAAGAAAGGCAGATCATCATTCAAGTCAAACATTAATCTACTGCTGAATCCCAAATCAACCCCTAAACCCCCTGGTCAAAGGTAGTGCACTGTAAAGACTGACTGACTGATCTGAAAGCTCAAGTGTTTACAGAGGTGGAAGCAATGGTGAAAGCTCAACCACTGCACTGCTTATACCTATCCAGAGGGGGAAGGGGTTGGGAATGAATTGGGACCGCCTGGAAGTGTAGGGACTGGGGGGGGTTGATTTGGGCTGCAACAGGAGACCTTGCAGTAACACCTCTAAGTAGAAAAAAGATACAGGCTTACAGAGGGGACTTGTCTCAAATAGCACCCTATTCCCTATACAGGCCCTGGTCAAAAGTAGTGCACTATATAGGGAATAGGGTGCTATTTATGACGCATCCATAGTATCAATAGTGTCATTAATAAAAGTCACATTTTGTTGTTCAGCAGTTTACATAGTCATTGTCCATTAGTTTCATTCATTAAAATATTAACAGTATTTACAGTTTTAAAGACCCAAGGCTTTAATCCTCATTGGTTTTGCTCTGAAAGTTATAAGTCGTATTTAATTAAATTCTATCGTCCTGATAAACTGTTCCTCTGCAGTTCTTGTTTTTATACAAAACATTATTAGCACTACTATCAAAGATTGTCATTTAAACAAGATGGTTCTTTATATTTGAGACATTTATTTTGAAATGGGCTAGTTGTCGGAGTGCAGCCATCATTGTAAGATGGCAGTGATTGTGGTTGCTAACTACCACACGGCGTGTATCCCAAAATAGCACCCTATTCCCTATTTAGTGCACTACTTTTGACCAGAGCCTATAGGGAATAGGGTGCCATTTGGGATAGACAACATACGGTAAGACTCATTCCCAATTCATCTTTCCTTGATTCCTTACACCACCGCTCCTCATGTCCTTCTAAAAATGCATTGGAGAAGAAGGTCCGAGGGAAAGGAGGAAATAGGATACGGGGAAACAAGGAGAGATTCATTGAAATGGAGAATAGTTTATTTCTCACTAGGTAAGAGTGAGAGGAACCAGACTGCCATTTTGTTTTGTTCTGCGTCTCAGTGCATGTTGTCTGGCCTCTCTCTCTCTCCCTCTGTGTTGCATAGCGTTAATGGGAGAAACAGTAAAAATGATTACCTAATGACCCGTTTGGGCCTTGGGTGGATGCTAGTTGTTCTCGTTTGGTCTCATCCCCTTTTATTCTCTCCTTTATCTGTCTGTCTGTCTCTTTCTACCTCTCCACCCTCTACCTTGTTACTCTGGTAATGGCTCTGTGGCTGTCTCCACTCCTTCCTCTCCCTCATCTCTCTCTCTGTGACTCTCCTTCCTCTCCCTACATCCCTCTCTCTCTCCTTCCTCTCCCTCATCCCTCTCTCTCTGTGACTCTCCTTCCTCTCCCTACATCCCTCTCTCTCTGTGACTCTCCTTCCTCTCCCTCATCCCTCTCTCTCTGTGACTCTCCTTCCTCTCCCTCATCCCTCTCTCTCTGTGACTCTCCTTCCTCTCCCTCATCCCGCTCTCTCTGTGACTCTCCTTCCTCTCCCTCATCCCTCTCTCTGTGACTCTCCTTCCTCTCCCTCATCCCTCTCTCTCTCTGTGACTCTCCTCTCCCTCATCCCTCTCTCTCTCTGTGACTTCCTTCCTCTCCCTACATCCCTCTCTCTCTGTGACTCTCCTTCCTCTCCCTCATCCCTCTCTCTGTGACTCTCCTTCCTCTCCCTCATCCCTCTCTCTCTCTGTGACTCTCCTTCCTCTCCCTCTCTCTCTCCTTCCTCTCCCTCATCCCTCTCTCTGTGACTCTCCTTCCTCTCCCTCATCCCTCTCTCTCTCTGTGACTCTCCTTCCTCTCCCTCATCCCTCTCTCTCTGTGACTCTCCTTCCTCTCCCTCATCCCTCTCTCTCTCTGTGACTCTCCTTCCTCTCCCTCATCCCTCTCTCTCTCTGTGACTCTCCTTCCTCTCCCTCATCCCTCTCTCTCTGTGACTCTCCTTCCTCTCCCTCATCCCTCTCTCTGTGACTCTCCTTCCTCTCCCTACATCCCTCTCTCTCTCCTTCCTCTCCCTCATCCCTCTCTCTCTGTGACTCTCCTTCCTCTCCCTACATCCCTCTCTCTCTGTGACTCTCCTTCCTCTCCCTCATCCCTCTCTCTGTGACTCTCCTTCCTCTCCCTCATCCCTCTCTCTCTCTGTGACTCTCCTCTCCCTCATCCCTCTCTCTCTCTGTGACTTCCTTCCTCTCCCTACATCCCTCTCTCTCTGTGACTCTCCTTCCTCTCCCTCATCCCTCTCTCTGTGACTCTCCTTCCTCTCCCTCATCCCTCTCTCTCTCTGTGACTCTCCTTCCTCTCCCTCATCCCTCTCTCTCTCTGTGACTCTCCTTCCTCTCCCTCATCCCTCTCTCTCTCTGTGACTCTCCTTCCTCTCCCTCAATCCCTCTCTCTCTGTGACTCTCCTTCCTCTCCCTCATCCCTCTCTCTGTGACTCTCCTTCCTCTCCCTCATCCCTCTCTCTCTCTGTGACTCTCCTTCCTCTCCCTCATCCCTCTCTCTCTCTGTGACTCTCCTTCCTCTCCCCATCCCTCTCTCTCTCTGTGACCTCTTCCTCTCCCTCTCTCTCCTTCCTCTCCCTCATCCCTCTCTCTGTGACTCTCCTTCCTCTCCCTCATCCCTCTCTCTCTCTGTGACTCTCCTTCCTCTCCCTACATCCCTCTCTCTCTCCTCCTCTCCCTCATCCCTCTCTCTCTGTGACTCCTTCCTCTCCCTCATCCCTCTCTCTGTGACTCTCCTTCCTCTCCCTCATCCCTCTCTCTCTCTGTGACTCTCCTCTCCCTCATCCCTCTCTCTCTCTGTGACTCTCCTTCCTCTCCCTCATCCCTCTCTCTGTGACTCTCCTTCCTCTCCCTCATCCCTCTCTCTCTCTGTGACTCTCCTTCCTCTCCCTCATACCCTCTCTCTCTCTGTGACTCTCCTTCCTCTCCCTCATCCCTCTCTCTCTCTGTGACTCTCCTTCCTCTCCCTCATCCCTCTCTCTCTCTGTGACTCTCCTTCCTCTCCCTCTCTCTCTCCTTCCTCTCCCTCATCCCTCTCTCTGTGACTCTCCTTCCTCTCCCCTCATCCCTCTCTCTCTCTGTGACTCTCCTTCCTCTCCCTACATCCCTCTCTCTCTCCTCCTCTCCCTCATCCCTCTCTCTCTGTGACTCCTTCCTCTCCCTCATCCCTCTCTCTGTGACTCTCCTTCCTCTCCCTCATCCCTCTCTCTCTCTGTGACTCTCCTCTCCCTCATCCCTCTCTCTCTCTGTGACTCTCCTTCCTCTCCCTCATCCCTCTCTCTGTGACTCTCCTTCCTCTCCCTCATCCCTCTCTCTGTGACTCTCCTTCCTCTCCCTCATCCCTCTCTCTCTCTGTGACTCTCCTCTCCCTCATCCCTCTCTCTCTCTGTGACTCTCCTTCCTCTCCCTCATCCCTCTCTCTGTGACTCTCCTTCCTCTCCCTCATCCCTCTCTCTGTGACTCTCCTTCCTCTCCCTCATCCCTCTCTCTCTCTGTGACTCTCCTTCCTCTCCCTCTCTCTGTGTGACTCTCCTTCCTCTCCCTCCATCTCTCTCTACACTTTGCTGATTGTGGTTCAGTAGCAGGTGAGAAAACAGGTAGGCCCATCTCTCCCTTTCTTTTTCAATCCATCTTCTGTCCCCCTCTCTCTCTCTCTCCATCCTCCTCTCTCTACTCAGATGACCGTGGTTCAATAGCGGTACGATTACGGGTGTGTTCTTCCTCTTGGTGAGAGAAGAGGTAGGCCCACCCCTCTCTCCTTCCTCTCCCTCCACCCCCCTCTCTCTCTGTCTGTCTCCCTCCCTCCTCTCTACTCAGATGATCGTGGTGGGATGGTAGAGGTGTGTTCAGTCTCTGTCTCTTGGTGGCTGAACAGGTAGGCCCACCAGCTGGGGGACTTTGTCATCTGTTTGGCTGCTCCCGCACTCTTCACCCGCCTCATCTCCTATAGAGGTCAGGGGTCATGCGATAGAGGGAGAGAAAGAAAGGAAGGAAAACAGGTTAAGTGTTTTTGATACAAGATTGAAGCATCTCATCTCCCCTCTACCCTCCCACAACTCGTCCTCTCACCCCTCCTTCCCCCTCCTCTCTCCCACAGCCCCATGTCTCACCCCTCCTCCCTCCCACAGCCCCATGTCTCACCCCTCCTTCCCCCTCCTCTCTCCCACAGCCCCATATCTCCCCCCTCCTCTCTCCCACAGCCCCATGTCTCACCCCTCCTCTCTCCCACAGCCCCATGTCTCACCCCTCCTTCCCCCTCCTCTCTCCCACAGCCCCATGTCTCACGGGGAGGGAATGGCCGCAGGGATGTAGCTCAGTTGGGTAGAGCATGGCGTTTTGCAACGCCATGGTTGTGGGTTCGATTCCCACGGGGAATTATGAAAAATATAAAAAAATAAATAGTATGCACTCACTAACTGTAAGTCGCTCTGGATAAGAGCGTCTGCTTAACTTGACTAAAATGTAAAAAATGTAAAGGTCCACCCCGCCTCCCCCCTCCTCTCTCCCACAGCCCCCATGGTTCCACCCCTCCTCTCTCCCACAGCCCCATGTCCTCACCCCTCCTCCCCCCCCTCCATCTCTCCCACAGCCCGCATGTCTCACCCCTCCTCTCCTCCCACAGCCCCCATGTCTCACCCCTCCCTCTCTCCCACAAGCCCCATGTCATCACACCCCTCCTCCCCCCTCCTCTCTCCCACAGCCTCATGTCCCACCCACACCCCTCCTCCCCCCTCCCACAGGCCGCCATGTCCTTCCCCCTCCCCTCTCCCCCACAGCCCCATGTCTCACCCCTTCCTCTCTCCCCACAGCCCCATGTTCTCGCTCACCACTCCTCCCCCCTCCTCTCTCCCACAGCCCCATGTCCTCACCCCTCCTCTCTCCCACAGCCCCATGTCTCACCCCCTCCCTCTCTCCCCACAGCCCCATGTCTCACCCTCCTTCCCCCCTCCTCTCTCCCCACAGCCCCATGTCTCACCCTCCTCCCCTCCTCTCCCACAGCCCCATGTCCACCCCTCCTCCCTCCCACAGCCCCATGTCTCACCCCTCCTCCTCCCTCCCACAGCCCCATGTCTCACCCCTCCTCTCTCCCACAGCCCCATGTCTCACCCCTCCTTCCCCCTCCTCTCTCCCACAGCCCCATGTCTCCCCCCTCCTCCCCCCTCCTCTCTCCCCACCAGCCCCATGTCTCACCCCTCCTCCCCCCTCCCACAGCCCCATGTCTCACCCCTCCCACAGCCCCATGTCTCACCCCTCCTCCCCCCTCCCACAGCCCCATGTCTCACCCCTCCTCCTCCCTCCCACAGCCCCATGTCTCACCCCTCCCACAGCCCCATGTCTCACCCCTTTATCCAGCCATGTATCAAACTCGTCACTCATGCGTCGGAGCTGCCGTCCATATTTCTTGGCCGCCCAGAGGGCAGGGGGGGCCGACTGGGAGCGAACCCGGAAAGATGCTCCGTCTGTGGGCACGCCGTCCACCCCTGGCCCACTACCCTGGAGCTCCTGGGCCTGGGACTCTGAGTTCATCCTCAATCGACCCTCTCCTATAGGAGAGAGAGAAGAGGGAGAGTGGGGTGAGAAGTATGTAGGCCTTGTCTGTCCGAGCCAGAACGGCCCAGAGGGCAGGAGCCTATCTCCTGTTTCTGTAGTGAGGCAGCTTGATGTACAAGTACACCCCCTGGACAGGACACTAGTCTATCTCCTGTTTCTGTAGTGAGGCAGCTTGATGTACAAGTACACCCCCTGGACAGGACACTAGTCTATCTCCTGTTTCTGTAGTGAGGCAGCTTGATGTACAAGTACACCCCCTGGACAGGACACTAGTCTATCTCCTGTTTCTGTAGTGAGGCAGCTTGATGTACAAGTACACCCCCTGGACAGGACACTAGTCTATCTCCTGTTTCTGTAGTGAGGCAGCTTGATGTACAAGTACACCCCCTGGACAGGACACTAGTCTATCTCCTGTTTCTGTAGTGAGGCAGCTTGATGTACAGGACACCCCCTGGACAGGACGCTAGTCTATCTCCTGTTTCTGTAGTGAGGCAGCTTGATGTACCAGTACACCCCCTGGACAGGACACTAGTCTATCTCCTGTTTCTGTAGTGAGACAGCTTGATGTACAAGTACACCCCCTGGACAGGACACTAGTCTATCTCCTGTTTCTGTAGTGAGACAGCTTGATGTACCAGTACACCCCCTGGACAGGACGCTAGTCTATCTCCTGTTTCTGTAGTGAGGCAGCTTGATGTACAAGTACACCCCCTGGACAGGACACTAGTCTATCTCCTGTTTCTGTAGTGAGACAGCTTGATGTACCAGTACACCCCCTGGACAGGACACTAGTCTATCTCCTGTTTCTGTAGTGAGGCAGCTTGATGTACAGTACACCCCCTGGACAGGACACTAGTCTATCTCCTGTTTCTGTAGTGAGGCAGCTTGATGTACCAGTACACCCCCTGGACAGGACACTAGTCTATCTCCTGTTTCTGTAGTGAGGCAGCTTGATGTACAGTACACCCCCTGGACAGGACACTAGTCTATCTCCTGTTTCTGTAGTGAGGCAGCTTGATGTACCAGTACACCCCCTGGACAGGACACTAGTCTATCTCCTGTTTCTGTAGTGAGACAGCTTGATGTACAAGTACACCCCCTGGACAGGACACTAGTCTATCTCCTGTTTCTGTAGTGAGACAGCTTGATGTACCAGTACACCCCCTGGACAGGACACTAGTCTATCTCCTGTTTCTGTAGTGAGACAGCTTGATGTACAAGTACACCCCCTGGACAGGACACTAGTCTATCTCCTGTTTCTGTAGTGAGACAGCTTGATGTACAAGTACACCCCCTGGACAGGACACTAGTCTATCTCCTGTTTCTGTAGTGAGGCAGCTTGATGTACCAGTACACCCCCTGGACAGGACACTCGTCTATCTCCTGTTTCTGTAGTGAGACAGCTTGATGTACCAGTACACCCCCTGGACAGGACGCTAGTCTATCTCCTGTTTCTGTAGTGAGACAGCTTGATGTACAGTACACCCCCTGGACAGGACACTAGTCTATCTCCTGTTTCTGTAGTGAGGCAGCTTGATGTACAGTACACCCCCTGGACAGGACACTAGTCTATCTCCTGTTTCTGTAGTGAGGCTGCTTGATGTACAGTACACCCCCTGGACAGGACGCTAGTCTATCTCCTGTTTCTGTAGTGAGACAGCTTGATGTACAGTACACCCCCTGGACAGGACGCTAGTCTATCTCCTGTTTCTGTAGTGAGACAGCTTGATGTACAGTACACCCCCTGGACAGGACACTAGTCTATCTCCTGTTTCTGTAGTGAGGCTGCTTGATGTACAGTACACCCCCTGGACAGGACGCTAGTCTATCGCATTGGACTCCTAAAACAGTACTGGGGTTCATTATGACAGCCATAGCAACAAGAAAGTAGATGTTATTGGGGTTCATTATGACAGGCTAAAAGGTGGCTGACTATCAGGGTGGTATTCATTAGGGAACGCAGCGGAAAATATTTTGCAACAGAAAACAAAAAGGAGCGTTTCTTATTGGAAAAATCCAGCTAGTCCGTCCATGTTTCAGTGCGTTTTCTTCCGCTTGGTGCCTAATGAACACGACCCTGGTAAGACCGATAGTGGCTATTTCCCAGAGTTCTCTGGGGGCATCATACCTGCCATTCTCATCTCAGGCACGGTGAGGGCGTGGCCTAGTGGGCCGCCAGTCATCCCCTTTCCGGCTGCCGATTGGTCAGTTTCTGTTTCTCCTACATCCTCTGAGGGCTCTGATTCGCTGTCTGATATAGTAAACATCTGAGCCATGCTGACATCTACGGTGAGAGAGGAGGGGAGGGAGAGAATGAGAGACAGGGGAGAGAGGGCAGAGAGGGAGGGAAAGAGACAGGAGGAGAGGTGGAGAGAGAGAGAAAGAGACAGGAGAGGGAGACAACATTATTACAAAAAATGTGCTTGACAGCAGACCCGAATAGACCCTGAATCTTTGTACCAAGGCTTTAGCTCAGGGGGCCAACTCAGTCTTGGCACGCTGGCGACCTGAGTTCAAATCCCAGTCAGTCACACATTGGAATGAATGAAAGACAAACCTCTAACTTTGAATTCACGATCACACACACAGGAATAGACTTAGAAAAAATACTATATTGGTAGTACCTTGGCCTAATTATATAACAATAGCATAGTAATAACTAATGATGTAACCAAACATATTATTCATGTTTAAACCCTTATTGTGATTAAAACTGACAAATAGTCTCGTTTGAGGTTTGAATACTCTGTCACGATGTTGCAACAAGATTTCTTCACATATAAAGCACACAAACACAACTTGCTCTGCTCCTTGGTCCAAAGGTATCAACGTTATCATATACCGGCAAGATAAAGTTGTTTACCGTGGGGAAAAGCGGTGCATAATGTGATATCACCAACATTGACAACTAGTTACATTCAAGCACACCCAAATTAGCTAAAATGCTACAATTGTTTCGGTGCTCTTCGCGATTGTTGTATCGATTCTGGAGACAATGGAAAACTTGGCAACACCACCAACCGCGGAAGCCACTCGGTTTGATAACGTCAAAAAACAGAATATAAAATACATTTTCTTACCCGAAGTATTTTGACAGGTAAATATGTTCGAGCAGCCGCGTCTCCCGCTCTCTATTTCCACCTTGATATTGTTGTTTTCTGGTGTCTTTTTTTTTAACGGTACAATACAGTTTTTCTTCCCTCCCCCAATAGCGTAGCGGCAGTCTATCTACCGCACCGCTATCCTGCGCTCCACCAATGGTCGGGCCCTGCGCGGGTCGCGTTGGACTGGCCTTGCCGCTTACGTCACTGTTGCGAGCTAGGATTCGGCTCGCGTTTTGTTTTTCTCGCCGGCTGCCCCCTAATATGTGGTATAGGAGCGCAACAGAAATATTCAACCCATACATACGGTAGATGGGTAACCAGCGGCCTCCACTGAGGGCATGTATAATACAGTACCTTGTTGATGTAAGCTATATACTGTATAACCCACGCACCACCAAATGCAAAATGTAACTAGTCATCTCTCTAGAAACCTTTATTAGAGGTTTTTTTTCTTACTTGGTTTTGTGGAAGACAGGACCTGTTCACTATGACTGGACCCGTTCCCTATGACTGGACCCGTTCCCTATGACTGGACCCGTTCCCTGTGACTGGACCCGTTCCCTGTGACTGGACCCGTTCCCTGTGACTGGACCTGACTCAGGTCTTTGAGAATGAACTTCCTTATGACAGAAACAATCTGTGTCTCTCATTAAAAGTAGTGATGATGTCATTAACATGTATGTCTCAGTTGGTAGAGCATGGTGCTTGCGTCAGGGTAGTGGGTTCCTCTCCCGGGGACACCCATACGTAAAATCTATGCATGCATGACTGTAAGTCTCTTTGGATAAAAGCCTCTGCTAAATGGCATATTGTTATAAATATATACAGGAAACTGCCAAAATAAAGGAAACACTTGAGTAAATGGAGGGATACAAAGTATACTGAAAGCAGGTGCTGCCACACAGGTGTGGAATTAACATCCCATCATGCTTAGAGTCATGTATAAAAGTGCTAGCAGGCCCAGTTGTCCATTATTTTGGCTACCATGTCTAGAAGAAGAGATCTCAGTGACTTTGAAAGAGGGGTGATCGTTGGGGCACATTTGCCAGGAGCTTCAGTGACAAAGACTGCTCAACTTGCTGATGTTTCTCGATGTGCAATGGCCATCTCAGTCACCGGACCTCATCCCAATTTAACAGTCATGAGAGATTCTGGAGTGGTCCCCGAATTTCTCGTGGAAGAATGGTGTCACATCCCTCCAATAGAGTTCCAGACACTTCCAAGAATCTATGCCAAGGCTCATGGAAGCGGTTCTGGCGGCTCGTGGTGGCCCAACGCCCTGAAGGCACTGCCATTTCCACTAGTGTCATACTGTGGTGAAAATTGTGAAAAAGAGAGAAGAACCCCAACAGCCACACTCTTCTATCCCCTGTAGTCTTTCCTTTCACCTGTGTATAGGCATTCACACTGATCAACAGGTGGGGACACTGGGGCATACGGGGGGAGAATCTCAATTGCATACTCCTCGCGTCCTCTCTCCTCGCCTCCTTCTCGAAACTCGTTGGATGAGAAAGCCAGAGGTCCCTCCCTTGACCTCCTCTTCCAATGGGTTTTGAGAAGGAGGCGAGGAGAGAGGACGCGAGGAGTATGCAATTGAGAAAAGGCCGGGGAGAAGTGATTCAGGTGGATGCAATAGAGGATGTGTGGGAGAAGGGAGGAAGGTAGGGAAGAGGCCTGTTGAGAGTAACCTGCAATACCTCAATAGGCCACATGGGGCCGCCAGAAGGAAATGTTTTAGAGGATATAGTTGAATAAAATCACCAGCAGGTGGCGTAGTAAGACAGGAAACACTGCTCTTAAGAATCGAATGGCAACAGTGCTGCTCTGTTATAGCTGGAGTATTAACTGGGTCCCTAAAAACTTACCCAAGGTCTGTTTTGAGATCTCCCACCCCGATGTTTATGGTCAAGGTTTGGGAAGGGTAAGCTGATCCTAATTCTGTACCTAAGGCTAAGGGCAATTTCTACCCCTTAAATTGTATTGTTTTGTTTATAACCACTCACATCATAAGATTCAAAAATATGTACATTTTAGTCATTTAGCAGACGCTCTTATCCAGAGCGACTTACAGTTAGTGAATACATATTTTTTTTTTATACTGGCCCCCCGTGGGAATCGAACCCACAACCCTGGCGTTGCAAACGCCATGCTCTATCAACTGAGCTACATCCCTGCCGGCCCTTCCCTCCCCTACCCTGGACGACGCTGGGCCAATGTGCGCCGCCCATGAGTCTCCCGGTCACGGCCGGCTGCGACAGAGCCTGGATTCGAACCAGGATCTCTAGTGGCACAGTTAGCACTGCGATGCAGTGCCTTAGACCACTGCGCCACTCAGGAGTCTATGTAAAAACAGTTATGATCAATGTGGAATATCATAGAGGATTAGGTTATCATTAATCTCTCAGGATGAAGGACTGTTAGTTCAAAGTTGAGAGAGAGAGGAAAAGTAGAGAGAGAGAGAAACAGAAAGAGAGAAGGGGTGAATAAGTTTTAATGTGTGTTGTTAACATGGACCAGAATGACAGAGTACATGAAAGTACCCTGCCCTCTGATGTTCTCTCTCTCTCTCTTTCTCTCTCTCTCTCTCTCTGTCTGCGGCTGGTAAACATCCCTGTATTTCAGTCCTATACAATTATCAACCATTTATATCCCTACAGAACAGAACTAACCTCGCCCTTCTCCCGTACAGCCAGACCCCACTGAAGACGTGTGTGTGTGTTCAATCCCCACTGAAGACATTTGTGTGTCCCCACTGAAGACCATACAACTATCTCTACACTATACTTAGTTGAGGTTCCTTATTGCAAGGGGAGTCAAACATTACGGTAAACCATTACAGAAGAGGAAGAACCTCTCTCTCTTTCTTTCTCTCTCAGTTTCAATTCAAAGGGCTTTATTGGCATGGGAAACGTATGTTAACATTGCCAAAGCAAGTGAAGTAGATAGCAAACGAAAGTGAAATAAACAATCAGAAATAAACAATAAACATTACACTCACAAAAGTTCCAAAGGAATAGAGACAATGTCATATTATGGCTACAGACAGTGTTGTAAAAGGGAAAATAAATGAACATAAATATGGGTTGTATTTACAATGGTGTTTGTTCTTCACTAGTTGCCCTTTTCTTGTGGCAAAAAGGTCACACATCTTGCTGCTGTGATGGCACACTGTGGTATTTCACCCAGTAGATAAACTCCTTTATCAAAATTGGATTTGTTTTTGAATTCTTTGTGGATCTGTGTAATCTGAGGGAAATATGTGTCTCTAATATGGTCATACATTTGGCAGGAGGTTAGGAAGTGCTACTCAGTTTCCACCTCATTTTGTGGGCAGTGTGCACATAGCCTGTCTTCTTTTGAGAACCAGGTCTGCCTATGGCGGCCTCTCAATAGCAAGGCTATGTTCACTGAGTCTGTACATAGTTAATGTCTGTTATAACTACATTTAGTGAATGTTAGTTAGTTATAAAATACTTAACATCTACACTATATTTACTGGATGTCCCCTGTAGCTCAGTTGGTAGAGCATGGCGCTTGCAACGCCAGGGTTGTGGGTTCATTTCCCACGGGGGGCCAGTATGAAAAATGTATGCACTCACTAAATGTAAGTCGATCTGGATAAGAGCATCTGCTAAATGACAAAAAATGTTTAAAAAATGTAAGTTATAACAGACTTTAAATCTACACTATATTTAGTGGGTGTTAGTTATAACAGACTTTAAATCTACACTATATTTAGTGGGTGTTAGTTATAACAGACTATACATCTACACTATATTTAGTGGGTGTTAGTTATAACATACTTTAAATCTACACTATATTTAGTGGGTTTTAGTCATAACAGACTTTAAATCTACACTATATTTAGTGTTTGTTAGTTATAACAGACTATAAATCTACACTATATTTAGTGGGTGTTAGTTATACCAGACTTAAAATCTACACTTTATTTAGTGGGTGTTAATTATAAAAGACTATAAATCTACAATATATTTGGTGGATGTTAGTTAGTTATAACAAACTTTAAATCTACACTATATTTAGTGGGTGTTAGTAATACCAGACTTAAAATCTACACTTTATTTAGTGGGTGTTAATTATAAAATATTTTAAATCTTTACTATATTTAGTGGATTTTAGTTATAACAGACTATAAATCTGCAATATATTTAGTGGACGT